CCCACATCCTTCTCAGCTCTGCCTTCCCTGCCTGGCAAGCCCATCCTCTGCCCTCCGGAGTCCCTGATCCTGGTTCCCAAGCTTGTGCGGGTGCTGTCCAGCTCCCCTGCTCGCCATCACAGGCTTCCTGCCTTGGTGGCCTGATGTCGCCTGCGCTGGCCACCAGTGTTTCACCCATTTGAATGGAATTTTCAAGCATGAATAGTTCTTGAGGCAGAAAAGAAAGTAAGGGAGCCCCGGCAGAGGGACCAGCCGGTGCAGAGGCCCAGCAGTGTGGAACGGTGTGCCTTGTCGGGAAAACCGCCTGCAGCCCAGGCCAGGACGGGGTGGCTGGGGCAGGACCGGAAGGGGCTGTGCATGTGTGGAGGTGAGCCTGGGAGAGTCAGCAGCAGCCAGGCCCCCTGGGGACCTCCAGCCAGTGCAGTGATTTCTAGATTTCTTGGCAAAGGGCCAAGTCCTATCCCCAGGTCAGTCCAGTCCCTGCTCTGGTGTCCAGAGAGTGCTCCAGGAGAGTGGCTCGTCGTAGTCGTCATAACCGCAGTCACTTCTGGAGTGCTCCCTCCACTCCATGGCTCACAGCGACTTCAGGGGGGTGGCTACGTCCTCCCTTATTTTGCAGATGAGAGAAAGACAGGATCTTCCGCCAACTCTCTAGCTGGTCAACAGGTGGAAGCAACCCAGGGAGGCCTCTGGCCATCAGTCCTCCGTCTCGCCTGTCTTCTATCCCTCCCCCACCGTGTCTGGGTCTGACCTGCGATTTGCTAAGTGTGGGAACTCCCTGAGATGCCCCCACCCAAGGGTGGCATCTAGAGCCCTGGACTGATAGAAGACCTGGGTTCTAACCCCCAGTCTGCCCTGACCTTGCTGGGTGTCCTTGAGGTGGTGGTTTAACCTCTCTGAGCCTCAGTTTACTCCTATGGGGATTGGGGATTCTAGCGGCTGCCTTATCTCCGTCTCCAGTTCCGGTGAGTCTCCCAGGGGTGAACAGATAAATAGGGCTTTTGAAAAGTACAAAGAGCTGTACTCACGATGGTGAGATTATTATTGTTACCTTGATGGGGAGATAAGAGAGGGGGAGGAGGCGCAGTGACAGTTGCCAAGAAACCTGGGAGCCGTCAGCAGCAGCAGCTTCCTGCCTGGCCCGTCCCACTCAGGAGCTGAGCCGCTGGCCCTGCCCCCACACCCCACCCCATACCCTTTCCCTGGGAGAGATGGGTGCTGGGGCGGGGAAGGGCAGAGCTGGGGCCAGCTGGCTGGCGGCCATGCATCTGCAGGCCTGAAGGTGACCCGGGGAATGTGTCTGGCCCAAACTCCACGTTGGCTCCAGCTCTCTCTGTGACCTTGAGCAAGTTACCTCCTCTCTGGCCACCACCTTTTCCTGTGTCCAGGTGTCCTCTGTACCTGTAGGCACATGTCCAGGCCAAACAGGGCAGGATTAATCTGGACCTAGGGAAGAGGCTTGGCAGGGTTTGCGAGATGGGGAGGCCACTAGGGTCCAGGCTACTTGATGGGGAGGCCCCTGGGGGCCAAGGCTACTCGGCAGGACTGAGGGCCTGGGTTGAGGGCAGCTGTGACGTGTGTAGTAGAAGAACCTCGGGCTGGAGTTAGACCTTGGCACTACCCTTTCTCTGGTATGACCTTGGGCTTGTCACTTCACCTCCCTGAACCTCAGTTGTCTTGTTGGGGAAAAGGTTGACACCAGTCCAACCTCACGAAGCAGTAGCTGTCGAGTGCTATACAGCCAGCTGTGCGGCTGTGGTCCTGGTCGGAGAGGCCTGCTCCAGGCACCTTCCCGGGGCTGCGGCTGCAAGTGCGGGAAGAATGCAAAGCATTTTAAGCTGGGCCAGGCCAGAGCATCAGGGAGGTTGTCGGGGAAGTGGGGAGGGGTAGAGGCTTGGGAAACCTCATGTGAATGGAATGGCGGAGACCAGGAGGAGTCAAGGACGGGATGAGAGAGAGGGGAAAGACGGAGAGATTCGTGAAAAGGAAGGAGAATGACCAAGTTGGGGAAGGTCTGTAGAGGCCAGAGGCAGAAGGGGAGGGAGGGATGGGCTAGAAAGGTGGAGAAGAGATGGCGAGAGGTGAGGACAGAGGAGGAGAAGGCATCCAAGGAGGCTAGAGGGGTCAGAGGGAGGCGAGGGGCTGTGTTTACTCATTCCTTCCAAAGTACTTATTGAGAAATTTACTAAGAGGCAGTGTAGTGTAGCGTTGGGGCACAGCAGCTAGACCTGGAGGGTTGGTGGTGCAAATCCTCCGTATTTCGCCTACTTGTACCGTCACCGTGACCTTGGACAGATCGCTTACCCTCTCTGTGTCTTCGTTCCTGCCTCTGAAAGATGACGATTAGCCGAGTTAATACAAGGGAAGCAGGCGGAGCTGAGCCCGCACGTGGCACTGTCTGCCTCCGTACTGACTGCTGCTGCTGCTGCTGTGATCCGGGTGGCTGCCTACCCAGTGGGATGGGCTGCGTCCACAGGACTGGCTGCCCGTGTTGTGCAGTTCTTGGGCCCCAGAGAGACAAATCTGGGTTCAAAGCCCTGCTCTACCTCCTGAACTGTGTGACCTTGGGCAAGTTAATGTACCTCTATGAGCCTCGGTCTCCTCATGTGTAAAGTCCACTCTTTCCAAGCACCTGTCTCCTGGGGGAGCTCTGAGGGTTAAATAAGGCCATGCAAGGCACGGGTCTCTGGTGGTTCTTGTTACTGCAGCCTTCCATCCCTCAGGGCCAGCATGATGATGCAGGCGGGTCCCAGAGCCTCTGATTTCCTGCTCTGTCCTCATCCTGAATTCCTTTCCTTCCCCGGGCCTTTGCGACCTTGAAGCATGACCTTTTAGGTGGACTTGTCTGGGCAGGGTGGGGATGGCATTTCCTGTGAGGAGCAGGACTGGCCAGATGAAAATGGGAGCTGAGGACCTGGAGAGGTTGGGTCCTGGGTGGAAGCCAGGGCCCCCTTGTCCTCAGAGACCTCCGTAGTCCTGGGCCAGTGTGCGAAGTCCTGAGATGGGCACCTGGGCACGAGGAGGCTGAAGCTGAGAGCGTTCTGGAGGGGGAGGAGCATGTTAGGGAGCTGCTGCCAGGCTGACCTGCGGTGGCTACGCTTTCAGCCTGGGGGGGGACAGACAGAAGGACACTACCCCAATAGCTCCGTCATGGGCCACAACCTCCGCTCCACAGCCAGGGCCACGCCCAGACAGTGGTCCCTACCGCCAAGGGGGCCCAGCCTCCCCTGGGCTTCAAGCCCAGGAACTCCTGGCCCCTGGGCACCATCTGCTCTTCATCCCACTGGCCCTGGGCCTGCTCGGTCAGTGGCCTGAGCTTTAAATTCTGGCTTTATCACCCACTTGCTAGGGGAAGTGGCTGCACCTTGCTGAGCCTCATCTTCTCCCACCTGTAAAAATGGGGGTAAATAATGCCAGCCTTCTGGCACTGTAGCGAGGGTATAATATACTTGGCACAGTATAAGCACACAGTAGGTCTCATCGAGGAGCCCCTGTGGTGGCCACAGTGGAATTTGCCTGGACTGTCGCTATCGGCCCCTCTCTAGCCCTTGTCCCCAGTCTCTCCCCACATCAGTGTGCCTTGCAGTCTGTGGGAAACCGCGTTTAGTCTGTTCCCTTGGCCACGAATCTTCAGTACCTCCCTACTGCCAGCCTCCGCTGAGTCGTTCATCTATTCAACAAACACCAAATGAGATCCTGACCCGGGGAGCTGGTGTTTACCATGAGTGAATGACTATCAAAGAGTTTATTGAGTGAATAACTAGGAGTTGTTCAGGCTCTATGATGGATTTTTTTGGAAACTGAGGCTGAGAGGAGTGTGTCACGAGGTCCCACAGTAGGTAGGTACCTGGGGATGTCTCCCCCACACTGATGCCACAGCCTGGAAGTGCCACTGTCACCATAGCCATTCTTTCGGGCCAAGACCTTCCCTTTGAAGTGCACACCCGAGAGGTGCAGAGGTGTGTGCAGCAGTGCCGAGGACGGGGGCCACGGCGGGGGGGGGGGGGCTCCGGGCTTCCTCAGGGCCTCCCTCCTGGGCCCGGGTCCTGCAGCTCATGCCCTCTGGAGGCGTGGCAGTCCCAACTTCACCTGACTCCAGCAGCCGTTGGCCGCTGAGGATCCTCTGGCAGCCTGCGTGACTCATCCTCTGGGTTGCTGGGACCTGGGCGGGGGTACGGCCACGTCATGGTGGCCCTCAGCAGCCAGCGGAAGCCAGGCCTGCTCCCCAGCCCTGGGCTCCCTGGGTCCCAGGAACCACTGGGTGCCTCCTCTCCCTGACCCTGGAGGTGGCCTTCTCAGCAGGCTTTCTAGGGTGGCGGGAGCTGACTTCACCCTCGCTAGACCTGTTCCCTTTCCTCCGGGAGGGGCGTGGGTGCGGGCAGAGAGTCCGGGCCCGGAGTCAGTCAGGCCTGGCTCCAACGCCTGCTCTGCCGCCAACCGGCTCACTGACCTCTGTGCACCTCTGGGTCCTTCTCTGTCAAGTGGGGATACCGGTGTGGTGAGGGGTCTGTGCCCTCAGGCCTGGCACATAGTAGGCCCAATGAGTATCAGGTATTGTTACTGTCAACGAGAGCAGTAGCCCAGTGGCCTCTCAGCCCACAGGCTGCTGTCTCCCTGAAGGCTTGGGGAGGGGTCCACACTGCCTGGCGCACTCTGCTGAATCCAGCGGTCCCGGCTCAGCCATCAAGAGCAACCCTCACTGCCCCTGCCTCAGTCTACCCACATTCAGAATGGGCGGCCGACATCCTCTTGGCCAAAGTATGTGTGAGGGAGGCCTGATGGAGAGCTTGGGAGGGACCCGCTCACGTCTCCGGTCTCCGGGGAAGGAGACCCTGTTTGGCTGCCCTGCTCAGGAAGCTCCTCCTCCTGGGGGTCCCAGTACCCACTCCTGCGTGAAGTCTGCCTCCCCTCGCATCCCCCAGCGCCAAGGTTGACTCCCAGAGTTCACAAGTGTCCCTCCGTGGGGCTCTCCCTGACCTCAGTCTCTTCTTCTCTTCCAGGAGGAGTGATGGGCAGAACCCGCGCTTCCCTCGGGCACTAGACCTGCCACGAGTGGACTTAGCCCTCCCACCCGCCGCTTCGCTCCACCCAAAGGTAAGTGCCTGCCTCCCCACCGCCCCAGGTGTGGAGACCCCCAGGGCCAAGAGAATGGCTCAGAATACCTGAGAACGACTGCTGGGCAGGAGGTAAACCGTTCAGGCCACCGCTGCTCAGCCCTGGGTGGGCCTGGTCGAGTCTCAGAGGTTGGACGGGGTCTGTAGTGCTGCTTGGGACGGGGAGGGATAACTGGGAATAAACTGGCCCCGACTGTTCTTCATGACCTTCGTTGTCGACACCACCATCCGTTCCCTCATCTGCACGTCGGGTATAGTGGCAGTGCCCCCGTCATGCAGCCCTTGTGAGGACTAAGTGGAAAAGTGCGCATAAAGCTTTCTATGCTCAATACCTGGCATGGGCAAAAGTCCTATAAATGAGGCCATTGTTGTTGTTATCATCAAAATCAAATGTTCACCCAGCACCCGATTGGTGTCAGACTGCGCTGGGTACCGAGCAGCCAGAAATCAACTAGACCCAAACCCTGCCTTCCAGGAGTCACGGTCCAGTTTAGAGAGAAATAATTAAACGTATGCAGAGAGTCAAATACCAGTAATAACTGCTAGCACTGGTTGAAATGATCTGTGGGCCACGTGGGTACTTAATGCTTTAAATACAGTATCTCATTTCATCCTCGAACTGTAAGTACTGTGTGCTAGCTGCTAGTATTAGTCTCATTTTACAGATTAGAACATCAAGGCTCAGAGAGGTTAAGTTACTTGTTCAAAGACACACAGGTAGGATATTATGGGGTTGGGGCTGGAACCATGTCTGTGTGACCAGAGTGCTGATCTCATGGCCTCTCCAACGCAGAGGGTCACAAGTCCTCACTTTTGTAGTGCATTTTACAGTTTCTAAAGCATGTCCACAGACATCCTGCCTCTTGGTCCTTTCATTAAACACCAGGTGGTAGGCATTCTCCAGATGAGGATCCAGATGAGATGCTCAGAGAGGCAATGTCACCTTCCCAGGGTCACACAGCCAGGAAGTAGCAGAGGCAGGATCTGCCAAACTCCTCTCCTAGTGCTCTGACCTGAAACGAGGGCCACGTTCCTCTCCTAGGCTGGAAGGACAGATGGCCAAGGAATGGTGTCCTTGTGAGGGACCACCACCTCCAAGGGGGCGCCAAGTGGGGATCCTATGGACAGTGTCAGGGGGGGACTCTTTCTCGCTCTCTGTGCCTGGGCAATAGCCCAAGACGGGCCATGTAGATCCTGGGGCTTGGCAGGAAGGGAGTGACTCAACGGCAGCTGGGCTTGTGAGTGAGCATCTGGCAGGAGGCCTGGGTTCTCACCCAGGGCTGAGTGCCCTTGGACCATAGCTTCTTCTCCTTGGGCCTCAGTCTTCCCATCAGGAAAAGGAGGGTCGGAACGGCCCCTTGCCCTGAGTCCTGCCTGCTCGCACAGCCTGGGGCTGGCCCTCTCAGATTAGCTCTGAGATGCCTCCCCCTGGGCTTCCTGGCCTCCACCCAGTCTGTCTAGAAGCCTCTGATTGTGCCAGCACGACCCAGACTGTAGGCTCCTGACTGCCTACCCCTGCCTCAGCATCAGGACACGGTCTGTGGATCCTCCTCCTTTGACCAGGGTCCAGAGAGATCGAGCGATTCGTCTGGATCCCAGCAAACCAGTGGTGGCGCTGAGGGAACCTGGCCTGTGACACTTGTGCCATGCCCCTCCCCTCGCACCCCTAACCTTGCACACATTCATAGTGTTGACAGTCCCTGTGCCAGTGGGCACATCCCTGCCCCTCTCTGGGCCTCTGTTTCCTCATCCATAAAATAGAGGTGACGGTTCCTTCTCTACCCACCTTGCCAGCTTGCAGTTGAGTGATGACCTTGAAAGTAACTTTGGAAAGTAGAAATCAGGAAGCTGAACTATTATCAGCATAATATGCTCCCAGGGTAGGACGGAACACCCAGGAGGGACCCTCCTCACTGGGGAGCCACACTTGAGATGGCCAGGACCCTCCTACCCTGCCCTCTTATGGGGGTTTCTTCACTTGGGGATTCAGAAATCTGCACAGAGGTACATACACAGTCTACCCACATTCATGTCCATGGGCACAATCACGTGTCTGCACATGTATTCAAAACCTTGCACATGTACACATGCAAGCATGTACAGATACATATGTACAAGCACACATACCCAGGATGTCCAGGTACACACAGCCACACCTAGTCTCAGTCTCACACACACACACAGTTGCGTGCACATGGGCACACCCCCTCCACTCCGCCTGGCACATAGGCCTCTCCGGCGGTACGGGCAGGTCTTGCCTCCTCCCAGTGTGGGAATGGATGTTTCTCTGGCTGCTTTTTGATGGGTGCCCGGAAGCGCTCAGGCCTGGAAGTGCCTGCATAAATCAATATTTGCTGCTGTTAATTATTAAAAACAAAGCTACACCGTGTCTGGAACACACATCTCTGGAGTTCCTGCCGGCTCCCTAGGCTCCAACCTGACTCAGGTCCAGATCTTGGGGAGAGGAAGACATAGTGCCTGCTTTCCAGGAGTCCTGGGCCCTGGAGACAGACGGTGGTGGGCAGCTGCCAGCAGCTTCTTCTGGATAAAGAGGGGCTGGGCACTGAGCTGGTGGGCAGCCCTGCCCCTGCAGGCTCCAGAGCAGCTGGTGTTGACTTGGCCAGCTCAGGGAGCAATTGCCACTTTCCCAGCATCTGTCTGGTAAAGGGGTGCTGAGGCCCCAGCCCTGCCCACACTGTACAATGGCAGACACGATGCAGGGTCAGCTGGAAGGACCTGCAGAGGCCTTATAAGTTTACAGATGGGGAAACTGAGAGCTACAGAGATGGCAGGGACTCACTCAAGTTCACTCAGCAAGTTGTAGCAAGGCCAGAGCTAGAACCCATATGTCCAGAAGTCGGCTCCATACAGTGGGGCCTTGGCAGCCCCTCCCCAGGCACTGTGGTTTTATCTTCTTGGGTCAAGGCCAACTAAGACAGTGGTGGGGGTAGTTAGAACCAGGTATAGCATGGACCCTGAGGAAGGGAGAGGACAGGCCAGCCACTGTCAGGCATTAGGGAACCGGAAGGGAGGGAGGGGAGAGCAGCCCCAGGACTTTCCGGGGATTCCTAGGTCTGCCTTTCCTGGCTGTGTGATCTTGAGCATGACGCTGCACACCTCGGAATCAGTTTTCTCTTCTGTAAAGTGGGGATGACACTAGTACCTCCTGGGTTGAATGGAGAGGATGAGATTTGCCAAGGGTCCAACAATAGTTAGGTACTCAAAAAAGTCTTCTGTCTCCAATGTAATCCCCTCCTTATCCTGTCTGGCTTCACAGCAGGTCCCAAGAACCCCACCCCAGAGGCCCTGAGGCGAGGTACCCAAAGTCCGGGAAGATAGAGGTGGGATGGGGTCGCGCTGCGGAGAACCTGGCGGGTGTGCCAGATAATTTGGTGCACTTACTTAAGTATTTAAGCGCTCCACCAAGTGCGCGCAGGCGCAGTGTTCAGAGACCGGGTCTGGCCGCTCTGGGGGCGGGGTCTCCAGTGACCCCGCCCCTATCCTCGTAACCCCGCCCCGGCCCCGCACGGCCTGTACCTGGCGCCCCGCCCCCTCCGGGCCCGGCCACCCGGCGAGCCCAGCGCAGGCAGCGCGCCGCCGGGAGCCGGAGCCCGACGCGGAGCTCTGCGCCGCGGGGCCCGGGCCGGGGCGCGCGTGGGCCAGAGCCAGCCGGACCACCTGAAGCGCCACTGGGACGGGCGCTGGGGCCGGGCCGGGCTCAGGATGGCGCAGATGAGGTCCCTGGCACCCTCCGGCCGTCCGCGGAGGGGCTCGCTGCCCACTGGGGCCGCCTGGCAGGTGAGGACTGGGGCAAGGTGGCCTGGTGGAGGGGCTCTGTGGGAGCCTCCGGGTCAGCCCGACTTCCTCGGAGCCCGGCAGGCTCTGCCCTAGCCAGGGCGCGTGTGCGAGGCGCCGTCATGGAGGGTGTGTTAGCTTCTGGGCTGACACCCTGCCACAGCGGCCACAAGGCACACCCCTGCCCTAGGGTCCCGGGTCTTCGGCTCTTTCTGCCGCTGTCCACAAAACAGAGTGCCCTAGTTGCACTGTGGCTCTCAGTGACTGTGTGTGTGCGCACTAGCCTCAGGACCATTTCGTCCATCCCCTGTTCCCTTTAGGGTGGTCTGAATGTCACAGTGTAACTTTGGGTGATGCTCTGGGCCACTTGGCTCACAGCCTTCCATGTGTCAGCATGTCTGCTGCCCCCATAAGACTGTAAGCGTGGGTGTCACTTGTCGCTGTGTGTACACTCTGTATGACAGTAGCATGTGTCAGTATTTATGTGGCTGTGTTTATGTGACTCCTAGTGCATTGTTCCTGGCCATGATAGGTCATCCTGAGCAGGGTGCTCCGGGGGACATCAGTGCGCCCCATTGCTGTCATGCTGGCACTCTGCTGGCCTGACGTGGTGTGAGTGTGGGTGCTGATGCTGCTGTTGTGCAGGGTGTTGTGTAGACAGGCATGTTTGTCTACCTGGGCTGCAGGTGTGTATTGTCCAAGCTCAGAAACACTGGGTGTGGCCAAGGTGACCATGGGTCAGCGTCTCCCATGGCTTCTTCTGGTGCATTTCATGGGGTGGGTTTTGCCCCTGTGGTCAAGCCTCAGAGTGTACACATGGGGTGTTTGTGTCTCGTGATTTTTAACAGAGCTGTGTGTGTGTGTGTGTGTGTGTGAAAGAGAGAGAGAGATGGGTGGTATGTGCTCACGTGGGTGTGAGGTTCAGACCTGTGCCCCTCACCCTTGGTGAGTAACTGCTCCGCAGTTGTGCATGCTTTTCCTTTTCCTCAAACTCATGTAGTGTTGTGGAAGCAGGTCTGTCGTGTCTGATACTGCACTGGGTGTGTGGCTCCAGTGGGGGGCCACGTGGGAGTGGGACTCTGTGCCTAAGTTTCCACTAACACACCTGCCTGTAGCTGCATGTGGCTGTCATTGTATCCCCACATGCAGGTGTGAGAGTGGTTTCATTGTGTTTGTGTAGCTTCATGTGCAATTACTGGTGTGCAGATCTGCTCAGGGAAGGGTTGGCATTTGTGTATATGGGTCTTGTACATGGACCTGTGTATGTGTGAGTGGGTGTGTAACTTGGGACACCAACATGGGTGTTTTCGGGGTAGCGTATAGCTTTAAGTCTAAGGATTGGTGTGCACAGACCCTGTGGGTTTGTGTGTGTTTGCTTTCTTTGGTACAGTGAGACTGTTTAAATATTGGTGTGTAGGCCCATGTGTGTGTGTGTGTGTTTGAGCAAGAGAGAGAAAAGAGTATGTGCTTCCTGGTGCACCACCCCATAGCGCATCTGTGTGAGCTCAGGTGATGCCCCTGCTGGGCAGCGGGAGCCAAGAACAGGGAGGGAAGGGGCATCATCCTGGAGACTCTGGGGGCTTTCCAGGCCCAGCCCCCTGCCCAGGCCCCCGCCCGGCCCCCCGCCCAGCCAGCCATCAAGGATGCCGTCTTCCAGGAAGGCTCACAGGGAGTTGGCGCTGGAGAGGCTGAAGCTGCCAAGGCAGCTGGCAGATGCCTGATTAACCCTGCATGTGCCCTGGCTAGCCTCAGGAGAGGCTGTCTGTGAGGGGTGGGGGGTGTGTGTGGACTCCCTCATGTGTGTAGGCTGATGGGATATCCCAGCATCCTCTCCTCCAGCAGCCCATACTGCTTAGGGTGCGGGGTGTGAGGACCGGTGGAACCACATACCCTCCTGAGGGTCCCAGCTGGATCTGGGGATCTTTTGAGGGGTGCATGAGCTGGACCTGGCACTGCCCACCCTATAGTGACATGAGGGAGATATGTCTCTCCCTAAGGGTCACATCCCTCTGTCTGGGGTACCAGCCTCCTCCTTTGGGGAAAGGGACTGACTTGGGTGGGCTGTCCCTCAGGGACCCAGACTCTGGGCTGACAGGCCCAAGACAGTTGGTCAGAGCCAGGGGGACCATGACAGATGGGTGGGTGCAGACACCTTGGGGGCTCAGTGGGATCAGCTGGACCACCTACAAACTGACTTATGCTCTCCTGATCTTGGTTACAGAACACAGATCTGTTTGAGATGATTGAAAAGATGCAGGTGAGGCTGGGTCCATTGCTCATTCCTGGAAGCCCACAGACGGGACTGGACTGGGGTGGGGGGGCCCTTGCTGTGTCTCCAGCCATAGACCTCTGTCTCTGAAGACAGTCCAGGAGCCCTTGGCAGACCATGCAGGGAGGAGATGGTGGCAGTGTGTCATCCAGAGCCCTCTGTCCAGAGTAGGGTGGGGACCAGTAGTGCCCAACTCCCTATCTGACCCTGGGGCCCAGGCCCCACTGTGTCTCCCCACCTCCCATCTCTATGTAGGTCCCCAGCAGGGCTGGGGTCCCCACTTCAGCCCACCCCCATATACACATTATTTTCCATTCCCCAAGAGGCATCACAGACTCTGCAGGACCCCCCCACCATGTAAAATGGGAGGGGGGACAGATGCAGGGCACAGAGCATCCAGAGGCTGTGCTGCAGGTAGGGGGAGGTGTTGACGAGCCAGGCAGCCCCTGCCCCCTGTGCCTGGCCCCTGCTTCCAGGCCCTGGTCTGTTTTTTGTATTGGTATGTATTGGGAGGTCAGTAGGGGGCTGGGGTGGCTTGGAAACAAAACACAGGAGCTCTCCCTGATGTCAGTCCACCCTCTAAACCCTCTCTCCTGCCCCTTGCTGTTTCTCAGCCTCTCTCACTGGGTCTTTCTGTCTCCTCCTCCTCTCTTTCCCTCTCTCTCCCCCTTCTCCCTCTCCCTCTCCGGGTCTTTCTCTCTCTCTCTCTCCCCATCTCCCTCCCTCTCTCTCTCAACAACACGTAACTGTGTAGATGCAATAGCCTCCCTCCCCACCTCCCCACACACACACAGGCACGTGCATGCCACCCCTGCCCCCACTCCCTGCGGCAGGCATTCCCGCACAAAGCCCCCAGCCCCCCACCCCTGCTGCCTGCCTCCCACAGCCCAGGTTGCCAGCGGGACACCCAGCCCTGCAGGGAGACCTGAGTAACTGAGCACCCTGCCCTGGGAGTCACCCACATCAGTGGGCTTTCCCTTACTCCACGGGATGGGTGGTGAGCCCAGGGGAGGGGGCTCTGCAGCAAGCGTGGGAGGGTGGGGTGTAACTGGAAGTGCTGCCCTCTCTTTGCAGGGAAGCAGGATGGATGAACAACGATGCTCCTTCCCACCACCCCTCAAAGTAGGTCTGAACCACAACCTCTCCAAAGAGTTTGGGGGACTTGGATGGGGCTGGAGGAGGAGACAGACTCCCTCCTTCAGGTGGGGGTGGGGCCGGGGCCTGGGGAGTCCTGCCACAGCCTCCTACGAAGCAACCAGCCCAGGAGAACTCACCACTTTCATGAAGTAGTCCTACCATGGGCCAGGTGCCAGGGTCCCCAGCTCTGCCCTTTAGTTCCCAGATGTGGAGGACCCCTCCTCGCCATAGGCTGGGGCCTTCATTCCAGCTCCTCCCCACCCATCTCACCATGCAAACTCAGCCTGCCTCTCCAGGCTCTCCCCTCTCGGAGTCGAAACCCCATCCCTCACAAGACAGCCTGCGTAACCCGCTTTCCTGGAAGCCAGTCTTGATGAGCAGTTGTAGGCAGACTCAAACCCAGGACCCAGGAGGCTTGTTCTCTGCTCCCTGTAGCCTCTGCCTAGAAGGCTGAGGGGGCAGGGGGAGGGGTGACCTGGTTGTGTCCCGCCCCCCTGAGGAGACTGACAGGACGCTGAGGACTGAAACAGATTCCAGAAGGCTCTCCTTTACACTCAAAATTTTCTTGGGGGGAGGGGGAGGCGGTAACTGAATTGCCCCACTAGGTAGGCATCTGGTTCTCTGGTTGGTGACTGGGGACCCCAGCCATCAAGAAGACTGGCAGCTGGGCCTAGGGGAGTGGGCTCAGGCTGCAGGGGTGAGGATTAAAGGGGGTTCAGGGGCACAAGCCTGACACTTTGTTCAGGGCACGGGTTTTCAAAGTGCAGTCCTCAGAGTGGCTCCATCAGCCAGCACCTCCTGAGGACTGGTGAGATGTCAGTCCTTGGGCCCACCTGACCTAGGGCATCAGAGGCGCCTGATGTGGCCTTCTGTGTTCAAGAGTGTTCCCAGGCTGTGCTGCTGCCCTGAGAACCGCTGGTCTGCGGGTTCCTTCCTTCTGGGGAGGCAGTGAGCCTCGCCCTCCCTGGGCAAGACGAGGCCCAGAAGAGGCTGCCCGTACTCAGTGAGCGAAGCCTGCTTCGCCCCAGCCTTGTGGGGTCACCCAAAAGCGAGCCCTGCCCCTCCTGTGAGACAGTGAGATGAGGTCAGGGCCCCATGCACAGCCTGGTGGCTGGCAGAGCAACACAGCCCTCGGGGGAGGCTGGGGGTGCAGGGCGCAGACCCCACCCCAGCTGGGCCCGGCCCTGCTTGTGTTTTGCAGACGGAGGAGGACTACATTCCCTACCCAAGCGTCCACGAGGTAACCGCCGGGCTCCCCCGAACCCATCCTCACCCTAAGCCCAGAAGGCATTGCACAGGGGGTTGGGATGCTCCAGTCTTCCTTCCTGTCAGGAGTCTAACCACAGTGGGGGCTGGAGACTCAGTTTACAGGCCAAGGACTTCAGAGCCCATTTGAACCCAAGGCCTCTGAGCCAAACAGTTCAGCCTGTCTGCCAAGGTCATGCTGTCAGTTCTATCTGGCCCAGCCCTATCCTTTGAGAATGGGACTTGGGCTCCATGTGGTCTGGGACCCACATAGATTCCGGGTTTTCCCTGGTACCCCTTCGGTCTGAGTTGGGGAATTGTCCTGGGGCCCCCAGTGGAGTAGAGTGTGGGTGGCTCTCAGCTGAGTCCCCCCTTTAGGTCCTGGGGCGAGAAGGGCCCTTCCCCCTCATCCTGCTGCCCCAGTTTGGGGGCTACTGGATTGAAGGCACCAATCACGAAATCACCAGCATCCCAGAGACAGAGCCACTGCAGTCACCCACGACCAAGGTGAAGCTGGAGTGCAACCCCACAGCCCGCATCTACCGGAAGCACTTTCTTGGCAAGGTGGGTGACCCACTGGTACGGGGGGGGGGAGGGCTGGGCCTGGGAGGGAGAGAGTCCTTGAGCTGGAGCCGGGTGACAGTCCCAGAGCCCCGAATCTCAGGGAGCATGTGGGATGGATTCGCTCGTCCATTTGGCAAAGTTATTGCGAAGGCCCGGTGGTCGAGAGCAGAGATGCTACCAAGGTCTGCATTCTCGCTCTGCGCTTGCTGCAGGGGGTTCAGGCAAGGGACTCCGCCTCCCTGTGCCTTTTCCTCACCTGTAAAAATGGAGATGAGGATGACACCCACCTCAGGAGGTCACTCCAAAGCTTTAATGACGGGGTGCTTATAACATGTCTTGAATGGTGTTCGGTGCAGAGTAAGTGTCAATCAGAGCTGGCAAATAATGAGCACAGCTGTGTGCCTGGCCTGCTCAAGGCAGCAGGTATACAGCAGCAAACACAACGGACCCAGGCCCTGTCCTCCGGCTGCTCGAGGTGGCCAGGGGCGGGGGGCGGGGAGGAAGGCACCTAATGCCCTGATGCGGCCTGGATGGAAGCGCCCCCGCCAGCCACTAGCCCCAAAGCTGGAGCCCTCCCGGGTCTCAGCATGTCAGAGGTTCCTCGCCCTGCAGTATTCAGGGCAAGGCTGTGGAGCTGGAGGGGAAGTCCCCACTCGGGAACCCTGTACGTGCCAGGTTCCACTCCAGGTGCTGTCTCTGCGTCAGTGTACTCTGAGGTGACAGATCGTAGCGTGGGCCCAGGGTCTCCCGGCCTGGGTGGGAATCTTGGCTCTTCCCTTTATTAATGGTGTGATCTGAGGCCAGTTATTTAACCTCCCTGACTCTGTTTCCTCTTCTATAAAAATGAAACAATAATTATTAAGTGCAGTAAAGCACGCTGACAGGTAGCTTAGTCAGTTAGAGCAACATCCCAATACACCAAGGTTGCAGGTTCGATCCCTGGTCAGGGCACATACAAGAGTCAACCAATGCATCAATAAGTGGAACAACAACAAATCGGTGTTTCTCTCTCTCTCTCTCTCTCCCCCCTTCCTCTTTCTTTCTAAAATAAAAATTTAAAATAAAAGTACATTAAAGCATAGAAAACCACTCCTGGCACATAGTGAGTACTTAATAAATGTTAGCTGTTATTATTATATCTTAATTAATCTGTGAGGTTGGAATTGTCCTAGTTTTTCAGAAGAGGAAACTGAGGCTCAGAGAGGTAAAGCGACTCGGTCGAGGTCACACAGTCGCTGAGCTGAGAATCGGACCTAGCTCTGGCTGACCTTCCACCGAGGCACGCCGTAGGGACAGACAACGGCATTGTACTGTCATTATGTAACACGATAAATATCATTGTGATGCGTGCAATGTGCTGTGATAGAAATCTTCCCAACAGCAATCCTATTACGATATGTGAATGTATCCAAGTAACATGTTGTATACCCTCAATGTATACAGTTATATGTCAGTTTTTTTTAAATGACATGCTGTGGGAGGGGGCATGTTGCTAGGTGTGCGTGTGCACATGCATGCATGTGTGTTGGGAGTTGGGAGCTGTCTGACCTGGGCCTGAGCCCGAGGCGCTGGCTGACCGCGGCGGGTACTGGAGCTCAGGTTGGGGGGAAAGAAGTGGAGTCCATGGTGACTGAGACTGCACCCACAAGCCATTGCCTGGGGACAAACAAGCCCAGTACGGGGAAGGCCATCGCACCTCCAGGCTGAGCCCTGCGGGCGGAGAGAGACCTGCACCCTGGCACCCACTGTCTAGCGGCTCTCAGCTGGGTCTGGCAGGTGTCATGCTCCGGGGGACCCTGTGGGCCTAGCATGTAGCTGACACTCAGAGTTTGCTACGCAGTGACAAGTGACCGAACAAGTGCCTGGGCCACAGGAGGATCTGAGGAGGTGCAGGTTGACGGGTTGGGAGTGGCGTGATGATCAGAGTGAGGGTAGCAACACGGAGAGGAGGGGACCTCAGGGGCGGGGAGAGAGCCAGGGCCGTCTCCCGACTCCAGGGGGGCGACTGTGGGGGCGGACACCTGGGCCTGCCCTGGTGGAGGAAGGAGGTTAGGGTGACTCCAGGCGTTGACTGCTTGGGACCTGAGCCCACTCTCCCCCCGCGTCCCTTGGGCTCCTCTGGGCCTAGGCACGAGGTCTAGGGAAACTCCCCACCCTGAGGACTCGGCACAGCTCTCCTTGCCAACGCCTGCCGCTCCCTCTCCACAGATCGTGCCCAGTGTTGGGGTTTCCCGTCAGTCACCCTGTGCCCAGGAGGGCTGAGGGGGACCTTCTGCCTCAGCCTGTCCCTGACCGTGCACTCAGACTGTCCCTGAGCTGTGGACTTGTGGGGCACGACCCCGGCCCCTGCCCCTTTCTCCTCCAGCCCTTGGAGCACAGGTGTTCGTGTTTAAACAGGACTCACTTCCAGGATGACTCCTGGGGTGGGTGTGGCTAGGCAGCCAGCCCTACTCCCAGGGCTGGGGCTGGGGCTGGGGCTGGGGCTGGCCAGGGAGCCCAGGGCCAGGCTGGGGTGTAATCTCCCAGCACTCCTGGCCCTTGGCTTTGGGACTTCCTCACCTAGAGGTACCAGCCTTGGACTCCTCTCTGAGGGTACCGGCTCTGCAGCAGCTTCCCCTTGTGCCCTCTGGGTATTTTTTCCATTTTTTCCCATCCTGCAGCTTCTTCCGGTGAGGTAGGAGTGTGGGAACCTGCCTGGTCAGCCACCCAATGTGTTCATGAGGTGTTTCACTTCCTGTTTCTCATGGGCCCTGGCTTCAGGGACCAGAGGTTGAGCAATCAGTCAGTCAACATATTTTTATTGAGCCCCTACTGTGTGCTCAGCCCTGAGAAGGGCAGGGCGGGGCACAGGTAGGGAGATCCAAATGTGGTCCTGACTTCGGTGAGAACCCAAAGAGCCAGGGTTTCTATAAACATTCATTGAACGGCTACTCTGTGCCAGGCACTTGATCTCTTTCGGTCCCTGCCACCATCCCACAGGTAGGTGGCCTCCCTCCTATTAGGAAACTGGACTAGGAACTGAGGCACAGAGAGGGGAGGTGACCCTCTCAGACTACCCAGCTGGCAAGTAGCAGAGGGATTGGAACGTGGGTCTGGCTGGTGCAGAATCTGCTCTTCGCCGTGACGCCTGCCGGTTGGCGAAGGACCCCGTCCGGGAGTGGGCTGGCCTCTGGCCTGGTTTCCAGAGACCCCGGGCTCAGCCTCACCCACTCCCCTGGCCCCCACTTCCCACCACAGGAGCATTTCAATTACTACTCACTGGACACTGCCCTGGGCAACCTGGTCTTCTCACTCAAGTATGATGTCATCGGGGACCAGGAGCACCTGCGGCTGCTGCTCAGGTGAGGGCGGGTGAGGGGCCCCGAGGTCCTAGAACCTGAGAACCCATCTCGTTTTACCTGCTCTTCTAACTGAGGCCCAGAGAGGGCCGAGGATTTGCCTTCATGCCCTTGGTTGCACAGCATGTTAGAGCCGGAGCGGGCCTGGCCCCCATCCTCCCTGGGGTCTTCCTTTGTATGGAGGGGCCTCAGTCTCCTTTCCCAACGCTTAGCCCCTCACCATGGGCTTTCTCTTCCCAGGACCAAATGCCGAACATACCATGACGTCATCCCCATCTCCTGCCTCACTGAATTCCCCAACGTGGTCCAGATGGCGAAGGTGAGGCCTCTGCTCCTGCATGCTGGGCTCCCTTTGGTCTCCCCAGGTGGGCCCACAGCATGGGGGCTGCCGCTTGGCCTTGGCACACACTCATGCAGCCCCATGTCTGAGGTCCTCCTGCCTCTCACGTGTTCCCATGATGTCCACGTGCTGGGCCCTGTCCCCTGCCTGAGTGTTTGGACACTGTTTTAGAGCACTTTTGGAAACGGGGGGCCTCGGTTCTCTGCACGTCGTTCTGAGCAACCATGAGCCCACGGTGCTGCTTCAGCCGTGGCTGTTCCCTCTCCTGTCTGTCTGTGCCGGGCCCACCCGACCTTGGCCTGGGAGGCCCGGAGGCCCCACCCGCTCCTGCCGGCCTGGCCTTTAGGTGTCCCCTTATCTCCTCCTGCAGCTGGTGTGTGAAGATGTGAATGTGGACCGATTCTATCCTGTGCTCTACCCCAAGGTAAGGCTGGGTCTCGGCCCACTCACTGCCGGCCGGTGGGTGGCCATGGGACTGAGCATTTATGGGTGCCTGCTGTGTACAGGGTATTTTTCCTTAGTTTCTCCCGTAATCCTCACTGTAACCCTGCCAAGTCCACAGTCTGCAGAAGAACCAGAGGCCCAGAAGCTTCTGTGTCTTACCCAGGGATGCACAGCAGGCAATAAAGGTCTGCACTCGAGCCCAGGGTTGCCAGCCTTGGGTGCGTGCCTTACCTCTGGAAACTCTCACTGTAATCTGGGGACCCCCGCAAGGGCACCCTGGCCCCTGAGCCAGGAGCTTCACGGGCCTTGCCTTGAGACCCGGAGGAGACCTGGTGAGAGAGAATAATACAAGCACCTGCATAAATCCCGCCCCACAGAGAGCGGTGCACATCCAGGCGCCGTGACACTGTGGGGGGAGGGGAGGGACTTCCGTCCTCAACAAGCCAGGGGGGCTTCCTGAAAGAGATCTTCCTTGAAAGACAAGTAAACCCTTGTAGCTGTGGCTGAATTCTAGAACAAGATGTGGCCCCTGCGGGGTGATGTGGTCCAGGAAAGGTCCCTGAAGGAAGGGGCTTCAGAAATTAGATTTCGTCTCAGTTACAGAAGAGGAAACTGAGGCACAGGGCGAGTAGGGGAACTAGCTTGAGGTCCCACAACAAGTTGGTGGGACTCAGCCTGTTCCAGAAGGGTGAGGGGGGTAGGGCTGGGGTCTCGTAGGCGAAACTTGGGAGCAATGAGCTTTGGAATCCAGACCTGAGTTCAAGTCCCAACCCCACTTGTCTAAGCTGTGGACCTTAGACAAGTGATGTAAGCTCTGAACCTTGGTTTCTTCATCTGTCAAATGGGAACAGCAGGAATGTCTCCCCCTGGGGCTTGCTCCGAGGGTTAAATGAGGTGATCCGTGTGGCGTGCCAGGCACAGGGCTCGGCACGTAGTAAGACTTGAACAATAAACAGCGACTGGAGAAAGCCACCTGTGTCACCCGTTGCCCCCTCCCCGCAGGCTTCCCGGCTCATCGTCACCTTTGATGAACATGTTATCAGCAATAACTTCAAGTTTGGAGTCATTTATCAGAAGCTCGGGCAGGTGTGCTCGCCTCCTCCCCCTGCTCCCTCACCCGCCTGGCCGTGTACCTGGAACCTCAGACCTTTGCCAGGGAGAGCGCCTCCCCAGGGTCTCAGCTTCCCAGGGCTTCGGGGGGCTGCCCTTCCAGCCTTCTCTGGGGTGTGGGGAAGGGGCAGCTCCAGCTCCCCGACCTCTACCCTCTGTGTGTCCCCAGACCTCAGAGGAGGAACTCTTCAGCACCAACGAGGAAAGCCCTGCCTTCGTGGAGTTCCTTGAATTTCTTGGCCAGAAGGTCAAACTGCAGGACTTTAAGGGGTGAGCGCAAGGTTGGGATAAGCAGAGCACAGTCTGACTCATGCCCTTGGGCAGGGAGGGAGCCCCTGTCCCGGCCCCGTGGAGGCCCGGCCAGGGCTGGAGACTGAGCCGTGGCCTGGGGAATGGGACAGGTTCCGAGGAGGCCTGGATGTGACCCACGGGCAGACGGGAACCGAGTCTGTGTACTGCAACTTCCGCAACAAGGAGATCATGTTCCACGTGTCCACCAAGCTGCCCTACACGGAAGGGGACGCGCAGCAGGTAGTTTGGGCACTTACCCGCCCGCTTCCCACCTGTCCCCCTGTTCCCCACAGCCGGTCTGTTCAGTGTCCACAAGATCAGGCTGAGTGGGCCCTGGGGTACAGCAGATGGAAGTGGTCCAGTCCCCACTACTTGTGGAGCAGCTGGGGCAGGGGAGACAAGATATTACAAAGTTGTGAAAGCCTCTGTTTCCCCATCCGTCAAATGGGGATGGTAATGGCACCTCCCTCACAGGTGAGTGTGAGTGAGGGACGCACATACAGTGGCTGGAAGACGGTGTAGCAGTAACTCAACACATACAAGTTAGTCTTTCTAAGGGAGTGAAGGGCATTACGGGGTCACGTGGGGGGGAGTGGCTTAGACTTGGCAGAGGTGGGAGTCGGGAAAGGCTTTCAAGATAAAGTGCCTTTTAGGCTGCAGAGGAGGCGGGAGAAGTGGGGGGGGGGGGTTCCAGGTAGAAAGAATGGCTTCTGCAAAGGCCAGGAAGTGCGGAAGTTTAGGGCACATTCTGGGGGCTCACCTTGCCACCTTGCCCTAAGTTTCCCACAGGACTGTCATCCCCACCCCAGGGGCATAAGACAGTAAGGTGAGAAAAATGGAAACACTTATTTCTTTATGGTCATTTAAATTTTTTTTAGATGAGATTTTCTGTTCATTTTAGCAACATGAATTTAAACTGGGGGGGAACTCATTTGTTCAAGAGGGACCACGTTTGGGTATTTAGACAGGAGGAGGGCTGAGAGGTAGGGCCTGGGGACCAGGAGCTGCGAGCCCCGGCTCACTGTAGGGCCTTGCAAGTCACTCCTCTCTCAGCCCTCGTGTCCTCGTCTGTCACAGAATTCCAAGAAAATGAAAACAAAATGTTTTAAGAGCTTATTTATTTATTTTTAGAGAGAAGGGAAGGGAGAAGGAGAGGGAGAGAAACATGGGCGTGTGAGAGATACATCGATCGGTTGCCCCTCATGCACCCCCAACTGGGGACCTGGCCCGCAGCCCAAGCATGTGTCCTGACTGGGAATCGAACTAGTGACACTTTGGTTTCCGGGCCGGCACTCAATCCACTGAGCCATACCAGCCAGGGCGAAAATGAAAATAATTTTTTAAGACAGGCTTCTCACCACATTTGTGCGGTGGGGAGTGAATCATGAAACGTGCCCTCTGCCTACCCCAGAGCCCCCCACCGCCCAGCCACGGGCACCTTCCCCCGTGCCCAGGGCCCCTCGCTGGCCAGTTGTGGAGGCCTGTGACCCTGTGCTCAGTTGCAGCGAAAGCGGCACATCGGAAACGACATCGTCGCCGTGGTCTTCCAGGATGAGAACACGCCCTTTGTGCCCGACATGATCGCGTCCAACTTCCTGCATGCCTACGTGGTGGTGCAGGCCGAGGGGGGGGCGCCCGACGGCCCGCTCTACAAGGTGGGTGATCTCAGAGCCCCCCAGGGCATCGGTCACTGTCCCAGACACAGCACCACCTCACTCACGGCGAAGCCTCCATGAGCCTCAGCTTTCTCAGCTACAGATCTGGGGGGTGGTCCTGAGGGCTCTAAGCCCTGCTCTTGCTCCTATGGTGGAAGAGTCCCATCCTGCCCTCTCTGTTCCCCAAACTTTCCCCCTCAAAGCGGAAGGTTAACCTCCTCCCCTTGACCATCCCGATGACTCTTGAGATTCTACACCACTTCCCACTACTCAAGTTCAGGGCCAAGGATGGAGGAGCTGAAATCATGGAGTTTAGTCACTCAGCTGTCACTGACCCTCCCCCGCCAAGGAGCAGGCCCTGTGTCCAGCATGGGGCAGGATGGGGATGTGAATTAGGGGTGTCAGGCTGGTGTGGGGACTCCACAGGGACTGTGCCCTCCCTTCCAGGTCTCTGTCACGGCCAGAGATGATGTGCCCTTCTTTGGGCCCCCACTCCCGGACCCTGCTGTGTTCAGGAAGGTGAGAGACTGCCCTCCAGCCCCTGGCACGGGCGGGACCACATGGGCGGGGGCTGGGAGGGGGACACACTCTACCACTCTAGGTCCTGAAGTCCTACTGTGTGTCGAGGCAGCTGGTCTCCCTTGACTGTGCACCTGAGGCCTGCTTTTCTGTTCATCTTGCTAAAAACTGGCCTTTAGTTACAAAGTCACAAAACAAACTATGTCATTGGTTTATATTTTTCATAGCAGACTCTGTGGCCTTTGTTCATTTCTATTATCTTTTTGACAATGAGTTCTCCTCTAAAATGTTTGGGGAGGGGCACACGTCTCTCTCACCTCTCAGGAAGCCACACTGAGAGCCTGGGCTTTAGTCCACAGACGGAAGCAGTCGGAGCCCCCCACGGAGCCCCCCACCCAGCCCCTGAAATCTGTAGGTTTGCTCTCCTGAGGGCCGGCCAGGCAGTCACGAGGGCACGGGGCCGTCTCAGGTGCCCAGGCTCGGGTGCTGGGCCCAAGGAGGTGCCCTGGGGGTGAAGAGGGTGACATCTGGGCTTCAGCAGAGTGTGGCTCAGGGCCTCGAGCCCTTGACCCCCAGGGGGCTCAGCCCCTTGTCTCTGTGTTTGCCTGACACCCCCGTCCTTATCTCCTCCACACAGGGGCCCGAGTTCCAGGAATTTTTGCTGACCAAGCTGATCAATGCTGAATATGCCTGCTACAAGGCGGAGAAGTTTGCCAAACTGGAGGTGAGGAGGGGCTGTTGGGGCAGGGTTCCTCCCTGCTGATTTAGAATTGTAGCCCTGCCCCTTGGGGAGGGAAAAGCCAAGTTCAGACCTTGGTCTTAGGGAGGGCTGCTAAGAGCATTCCCTTAGGGAGGGAATGCGGGTTTGCAGACGAGTAGGGCTAGGGTCAAGGGAGAGGACGCCGGGCATTTCCTGGCATGTGAGAGCAATGCCCGGGAGGGGCTGGTGGGCAGGCCGGCACCGAGGACTCCGTGGGGAGGGGAACAGTGGAGGTGGGGCCAGGAGGTCAGATCTGGAGGGGCCCGAGGGAAGCTGGAGGTAGGCTTGCGGGGTGGGGGCCCAGACCCACTCTCCACCCGCTCAGAGAAACTGGCCAGGACTCCAAGTGTGGGACGAAGGGCTGACCATTGGGGTCTCTCCTGACGGCCTGGCCCTGGCCCGCAGGAGCGGACACGGGCTGCGCTTCTGGAGACGCTCTATGAGGAACTCCACATCCACAGCCAGTCCATGATGGGCCTGGGCGGCGACGAGGACAAGATGGAGAACGGCGGCGGGGGCGGCGGCTTCTTCGAGTCTTTCAAGGTGAAGGGCCAGGTGTACCTGGGCTCGGAGGGCCAGGGGCCTGGCTGCCGTGGATTCCAGGATCGGGTTAGGGACAAGTGGGGGTGTGGCTAGAGGCGGGCTCACGTTGGGGGGCGGGGTTGGGTGGGGGTGTGGCTTGCGGTAGATTTAGGCTTTAGTAGGGTGGGCTTGGCCTTGGTGGATTCAGTGAGAGCTAGAGCAGTTGGGAGTTTAAGGTGGGGCTCGGGGGAGGAGCTAAGGGTGGGAGGAGGGGCCTAGGAGTGGGGGCGGAGGCTGTCTGGGAGTTCCCCTGAGAGTCGGAGCCTTCTGGGTGGCAACGAGGTGTCTCTGGTGCCAAGGGTGGTGGCTAGGTCAGCGTGTGAGAAGAGAGGAGGAGGCCTCTGTCCTCACTGAAGTAAAGAAACAGGCCCCGGAGGGGTGTGTGGACCGAGTGGCCCTAGGAGACGGGCCTGGCTTGTGCGACCTTCAGCTCGTATGACCCACTCCGGCCGGCCGTCTCTGGTTTAGCTTAGCGTGAAAGAGCACAGACGCCCTGGGTTCAGTTCCAGCTCTGTCACTCACCAGCTCGCTCCTTCTCTGAGCCTTGCTTAGCTTCGTTACCCGTCAGGGAGGGCAACCGCAACTTACCTCCTCAAATTGTCCAGAAACACCTGTACAGCGGTGCGATCAGTGCAGTGGAAATCGAAAGAGCAAAATGCGAATCCCTGACCGTCTACCTCAGCAACCATTGACCCCAGTGACAGGCAGAGGAAGGAGTTCTTCTCCCCTCAGACAGCGCCTGGACTCCCCCAGACTGCATCCCCCCAGGGGACGCTGCTTTGCCACCACCTCCTCCACCCACAGGAGGGACACTGCCCATCCTCCAGGTGCCCAGCCAGGCCCCACAGCTGGGGCTGTGGGTTCACCTGGGGGCATTAGCTCAGCCGCCCAGGTATTCCCTGGACTAAAGCAAAGGGACCGTTTTTGAGAAAGAGGCCTGAGGACAGCCTGCCTCCGTCCACTGGAGACAGGGATGGGTGGGGTGGGCCTGGTGTCTTCTTTGAGCGAGGGCTCCAGTGATCCCACATCGTGTGGGTGCTGGGCAGTGGACCTGGATCAGGTCAGAGAGTTTCCCAGAGGCAGCAGAGCCCACAGTGCAGGATTTGGGTTTGACACCTGGATTCCAGACTTGCATCTGCTTCAGCGTTCTCAGCCCCGTGTAACATGGGCGGGGCAGCCGTGCCTTCCCCGTGGGGCGGGCTGAGTGAGAGGGTGGATGCGCAGTGCCTGACCCTACGGAAAACGCGAGGGAGGGAGGGAGGAACGAAAGCTTTAGCGAGCCTTCCTGAAAGAAAGAAACCAAGATTTCTGGAGGGCTCTCTGTGCCGCCCTTGGCCAGGACCCAGTATTTTCTGCAGTCCTCACCACAGCCACATGAGAGGCTCACAGCCCCAGAGGGGTAAGTGGCTTGCCCAAGGTCACCCAGCGAGTTGGTGACACAGCCAAGACCCAAACTACCCTTGGCACCATGTGGACCTGACTCGTGTGTGGCCTCATGTGAAAGGACTTCCTGGGGCCACTCAGAGTGGCACTGGTGGGAAGGAACCAGACGCCTGGATTCTCGGGTTTCCCTGAGGGGCAGGTGTTTACGAAACCTATGCCTCCCCCACCCCCCACTGCCACCGTCACAGCGGGTCATCCGGAGCCGCAGCCAGTCCATGGACGCTATGGGGCTAAGCAACAAGAAACCCAACACCGTGTCCACCAGCCACAGCGGGAGCTTCGCACCCAACAACCCGGACCTGGCCAAGGCCGCTGGAATAGTGAGTGCCTTCCCCGGGGCCTTCCGCTCTCCCCTGCCCCATTGTCCTGCCATCGAACGGTCATCCATCCTGGGCTGTAGAGTCAGTCCAGCCACTGCTCTCCATGGGGGTCAAGTGCCCCGGCCATGATTCTGTGGTGCTGAGAGTCTCCTTCCCAGCCTCTCAGCCCTCCCTCCCTCCTGGCCCCTTATTCAGGTGTGACTTTGGGTCAGCTCTGCGGCAGCCTCTATGTCACATTTCTTATTAAGCACCTACTGTCTTTCATGTGCTGGGAATTGGGCTGCTGTGTGGGCACCTACTGTGTGAGCATCTACTTGAGTTTCTGGGAGCACCTACTGTGTGTGTCAGGCTGTGGGCATGCACTGTGTGTCAGGACCTGGATTTCTTCGTGAGCACCTGCTGTGTGCCTGGCTCTGAGATGCTGATGGGGACCTGGGTGGTCGTGTGGGCCTGTGCTCTGTGAGCACCTACTGTGGGCTGGGCCCTGAGTGTCTGCGAGCACCTACTGTGTGTCAGGTCCTGTGTGCCCAGCCCTGGGCTGTTGTGTGAGAACCTTCTGCGTGTCAGAAAATGGACTGCTGAATGAGCACATATGTGTGCTAAGCCTGGATAGCAGTGAATACGCGCTGCGTCAGGAGGTGAGCTGTCGTGCGAGCATTCACCGTGTGAGCGCCTATGTCTGTGTGCCTGGCTCGTGGCTGCTGTGTGCCGCCTCCTGTGTGCCAGGGCCTGTGTGGCCGTGGATACTTACTGTGTGTCAGGAATTGGGCTTCTGTGTGAGCATCTCCTGAGTGAGCACCTACTGTGTGATTACTTACTGTCTGCCAGCCTCTGGGATTCTGCTACTAATAATACTCAATACTCAGGGGGTGTGCTGGGCACACAGGATGGGTGAGGCCTTCAGCTGTGGGCCTAGCTGCTTTCCGCTACCCAGTGGCCACCCCCGACACTGCACCCACTGCTCTGCCCCACCCTGCCTCCTTCCATCCTTCTTATTTATCCACCCATCTGTGCATCCATGCATCCGTGCATCCCTCCCTCCCTCCATCAATCATTTACTGACTGCTGCATGCCAAGCTCTGTGCTCAGTGCTGTGAGGGGGAGTCACTTGTGGTGAGAAGGACCTCCCACCCCAACCCCCGCCCCATGCATAACCTGGTCTGGCCAGGGAGCAAGGTGGGTCCTCCGTAGTCCAGCAGTCACCAAGCCCAGTGTCACTGGAGAAGCAAGCCCACCCTCCCCCCAACTCAGACTTACAAGCCATTCCCTTCCTCACTGGAGTAGCCCAGCCTCCTGTGGGTGGCGGCAGAGGGGCCCCAGAGACAGGGCCCGGCCAGCAGCACCCGCAGTGGCAGTAACCAGACCCATTTCTGTTTTTGTTTTTGCGTAACTCTTCCCTCTCTTCATTGTGCTTCCTTCCCTTCCGCTCCCCCCTCCCTCCTCGTTTCTCCTCCCCCTCCCCTCCCTCGCCACCTTCTCACGTGTCCGTGTCTCTTCTGTCCTCCGGCACCTGTCTCCCCCCCCTCCCTCTCTTCTCTCCCTTGCTTCTTCCTTTTTGCCTCTCCCTCCCTTCCCTTTCTCTCTGTGTTTCCTCCCTGGGACTGTCTGTCTGCCTGTCTGCCTGTCTGTCTGTATTTCAATCTGTGCCCCTCTTGTGGGCTCCTCCCATGTGTTCGTTCCTGTCTGCATAACCATCTGTTTGTCAATCTCTCCTTCCTCCATCCTCTCTCCCCTCCCTCCTCTTCTCTCCTTCCCTGCCCTGGCCTCCTCTTCCTCTCCCCCAACCCCCTGCCCTACTCTCTTCTTTGTTCTCACCTCTCTCTGACTCCCACTGTGTCTGCCTGTCTCTCTCTGCCCCGCCCTCTGCTGCTTGCCAGTCATTGCTTATTCCTGGGAAAAGTGCGAGTAGATTCGGACGCCGGGGCAGTGCCATAGGCATAGGAACCGTGGAAGAGGTTGTCGCCCGCGGGGCCACCGGCTCTGGAGGCTGCCTGCACGCGCTGCTCTCTGCTCGCTCTCAGGACGGAGGCCATATTGGGGACGTTGCCCCCTTCCCCCCGGGACAGGCCGGAGGGCGTGCAGGTCGGAGTGCTGGCAGCTCTGATGGCACTCAGCACCTGCTTTGGGGCCTGGTACCTATGCCAGAGCCAGTGCCCCCTGCCAGGGGCTTCTGGCCCTGCCCTGCTCCTGGGACCCCGCCACAGTCTGGTACCCAGAGACCCTATGCCCAGCCACACGTCCCCCAGTATCGCCAGTTCTGCATGGAGCGCCATCCCTCTCCTCTGCCCCATCCCTCCTCCCCCACTGAGCAGGCCTGGGGGTTCCTGCCCTCCATGCCTTTCTGGGGCCCACATCCTGTGTGGGTGTGGGGGGAGGTGGGGGATATCTGCCAGCTGCTGGCCCAGAACCTACCCCAGCCAATTTGGAGACTCTGGGGCAGGGTGGGGCTGGCCTGGGGCAAGGGCTTGGGTCCCTACCACTCTCTCCCCACTGACTTTGGGCTGCAGGTCCTGTGAAGCCCTGGGGGATGGAGAGGGGACAGCCATTGTGAGGGCTGGGCCTCTCCCATCCCAGCCAGAGTGGCTGCCAGCCCCCACAGGCCCAACCCTGCTGGGTGGTCTCGGGGGGCCCTTGCCCTTACTGGGCCTGTTTCCCTGTCTGTAAACCGGGTGGGCTTTCCCTGGAGGTGGACATTTCCTCTCGTTCTTTCTTGCTCTTTGCCTCTGCTTCAGGGCCTGGAGCAGCAGGGCGCAGGGTGGCATGTGGGGGGCACCAGGGCTTCCAGGGCAGGTGGGCACTGAGTTGGGGGCCTCTCCCCACAGTCACTGATTGTCCCTGGGAAGAGCCCCACGAGGAAGAAGTCAGGCCCGTTTGGCTCACGCCGCAGCAGCGCCATCGGCATCGAGAACATACAGGAGGTGCAGGAGAAGAGGTGGGTGGAGCAGGGCAGCCGCAACGAGTCTGTCTCCTCGGACCCCACCCCGACCCCATCCAGTGGCAAAGCAGGCAGGAGGAATGCCTACCTTCTGCTTCTCGGTTCCCCACTGGTGGTGACAGCTGTACGGTCAAGTTCCTGCTGGGCACCGGGCACAGGCCAGCCTGCTGCCTAGTGTGACACACTTTCATCTGCTCAGCAGTTCTGCTGGCTCCCTGCGGGGCCCACCTTGTGCGTCAGGATGCAGTAGGTCAGCGGGCTCGGGGTTTGCCCAGGTCACACAGCCAGTGGCAGGCAGAGCTGGGATCGTGGGGGTCTGTGGGTCCATCTGTGTGGGCAGGGGTGGGTGGTGGGCCGTATCAGCAGCAGGGCAGCTCCTGGGAAGCCGAGGATAGTTCCTGGTGTGAATCCCTTCTTTACCACCATGGGGCTGTGTGACCTTGGGAAAGTCACTGTACCTCTCTGAGCCTCACTATCCTACTCTGAAAAATGAGGATAAGAACACAACCAACATCATGGGGCTGGTGCGGGGGCCCCGTGCGATGCATGTGAAGCGGGGTGGCAGGCGCACTTAGGCACAGAAATGGTGCTGGCATCGTCCTCAGATCCTGGGTTCGAGTCTCGGCCTTGGCATGTCCTAGCTGTGTATCCCTGGGCAGGTTCCCTCCCATCTCTGGACTCCAGTCTCCTGATCCATCACAGGGGACAATTTACCCGCTTCCACGGAGAGGAGGACTTGGGTGCAGGTGCTCCGTGGTACCTGCCCCGGCCTGGCCAGTTAGCCGCAGCGACTGCTCTGGGGCTGGCCTCTGAGGATACAGGGTTCAGGTGTAAGCCAGGAGGTGCCCTTGACCTCCTCTCACCACCTGGGCCTCATTCTACCCTGACGCCAGGCCCGGTGCTGAATCCCCCCACTGCCCTCCTGTGCCCTGCAGGGAGAGTCCCCCAGCTGGCCAGAAGACCCCAGACAGCGGGCACGTCTCACAGGAGCCCAAGTCCGAGAACTCCTCCACCCAGAGCTCCCCAGAGATGCCAACGACCAAGAACAGGTTGGGGCCCGGGGCTCGCCAGGCTGGGGACTTGGGAGTGGGGGCCCCATTTTCTTCCATCCCCGCCTGAGCCTGGGACTGCCAGGGAGGCCTGGGCACTCTCTCAGGTCCTCCTTTGACACATACCTGCCACCGGGCTCTGGAATATAGTGGTGACCAGGGCACACATGGGGTGACAACTCAGGGTAACATAACCATGATAAGCTATTTCCAGATAGTTACTGCCAGAGGAAAACAGAGCAGGGATGTGATGAAGAACGACTGGGTGGGTGGGGAGGGTGGGGAGTTAGGTGGGTGCTCAGTGAAGACATCAACAAAGGGGTGAGGTTTGAATCGAGAGCTGAGAGAGGAGTCAGCCCTTCAGAGGGAAGAGGGCTCCAGGTAAGAAACACAGCCAGTGCAAAGGCCCTGAGGCATGCTTGAAGGGCGGGAGAAGGGCAGTGCATTGGAGCCGAGTGAGTGAGGGGCCAGGCCCACGTGAAGGGGCTGGGGCAGGAATGGAAGCAGGGAGGCGGGCAGGCAGGCTGCCCTCCCCCGCCCCCATTCACTGCTCGTGGGCTGAGCACCTCTGTGCTGGCTCGGGGGGCAGGGGGATTCAGCCCGGCATGAAGAGTCAGACAGGTGAACAGAGAAGCAGGAAAGGGTGACAGGGACAGCAGGAGACAAGGCGTGCAGGACCCAGAGAGGGGCGGTCACGCTACCATGGGAGGAGAAATCTGGGAGGGCCTCCCTGAGTGGAGGTCCTTGGCTGATTTTTGAAAGACAGATTTGCTTTTTGGGATTTGAGGGAAAGAGTAAGACTCCCAACAGGAGACACAAGGGCCTGAGGATGGAACAAAACAGGGAGAGGGCTAAGAGAGCAGACTGCGGCATTGGAAGGCCTGGGTCCTGCCGTTCTCCCACCCACGGCTGGCTGACCAGGGGCTGCGTGCCTGCCCCCCTGTGCCTGGTGTCTCCTCATCTGCAGGATGGGTCTAAGGATGGTAGTAATGAGATAATTCGGGTAAAAGCACTTAGAACAGTGCCTGGCACAGGGCGAATGTGCACCAACTGATTATTATTATTAATAGTTACTGAGACAAAGCCAAAGAAATTGGACTTCAGCTGGGGAGCCCCGAGATGGTTTTGAGCAGGGCGGGGATGTGGCCAGATCCACATATTAGGAGGGACAGTGGCAGGGGCAGGTCTCCCTGGGCTGAGAAGGCAGAGGACAGGGGCCTGGGCCCAGGAGGGGCCCCAAGTGGGTGCCGGCTGACGGAGTGCTGTCTGTGGCAGAGCGGAAGCGGCAGCACAGAGAGCAGAAGTGCTGACGGACTTCTCCCACTCCTCGTCCAGTGCCAGCAGCTTCGCCAGTGTGGTGGAGGAGACGGAGGGTGTGGACGGGGACGATACAGGCCTGGTGAGAGGCCCCAGGGTGGGGGTGCTCCGCATCAGGCTGGGATGGGGGCTCTTTGGTCCCTGGAGACGCTTTGGGTGGAAGCCTGAGCCTGGGGGAGCTCACACGTGATCAGGGGACCCAGCCCAGAGGAATAATGCAGACTAACCCTCCCCTACACTGTAGCCCTCCACACTCCCCGGTGCCCCCCACAGAGGGCCCAAGCTCTGAGACCTTGGCAGATCTGGTCCCTCCCTCGTTCCCTCCTTCCTCAGCCTCACTTCTTGCCACTTCAGCGATTCTGCACGCCTTTGCTGTCAGTCCCCCAAACGTCCCGGGCTCACTCCACCCCGGGCCTTTGCACGTGCCGTTTTTCTCTGCCTGACTGAGTCCTACTCACCCTGGTGGCTCAGCCTCACACCACCTCCTGTTGTAACCCTTTCCTGAGTTTCTAGTCCCAGGGCACAGAGGGGTCCCTCTCTGTGCTCACAGAGCCCTGAGCTCTGCCCTTTGCACCCTTTTGTCATGCTCCCTTCAACACACCTTCAGTGGACACCTGGTCCTTGCCAGGTCCTCTCTCAGGCGCTGCAGGTGCAGCGGGAACAATGCAGACCAGGCCCTGCATGATGGGGCCTGGAATCTGGAATCACAGTAGTCTCTTCACAGCCCGTCTCGCCTCCTAGCCTTCAGGGTCTCTGAGGACAGGGATTGTACCTGATGTCTCTCCATGGCTTGGCCCAGGAGAATGAATGGGAGTGTGTGGTGTGTGCCTGTTCCCACTTTGCCCCCTGACCCCCATCCATGCCTCCATCTCCCCAGAGCAGACACTGCCAGCCCCCATCCTCTCTGCAGGGAGGCAAGGGTTGGGGGTCAGGGGTGTAAGCAGGGCAGAGGTGGCGGGAGGGAAAGGGGAGCCAAGCCAGTGCCAAGAACGAGGCTGACCTCCGTCTTCCTCTCTTCCGTCCCCAGGAGAGCATCTCGTCCTCAGGGACCCCCCACAAACGGGACTCCTTCATCTATAGCACGTGGCTGGAGGACAGCGTCAGCACCACAAGTGGGGGCAGCTCCCCAGGTACCAGGCCTGGAGCAGCTGCCCCCCAAGCAGGGCTTTCTTATGGCAGGAGGGAAACAGGGTTGGGTGCTGAGAGGTGAGGCCATTTCTTGTGCCCCAGGTGGAGGGTATGTGACAGGGGACAATGGTGGGTCATCATTCAGCCTAAGGTGACTGGTGGCTCAGAGGGCTGGTGGCTTCTGGAAGGGTCTTGGAGAATGACGGGGAAGCAAAGAGAGAGTCAGGGTGGGGTTCCCTGGGGGAGGAACATGGCGGGGTTGGGGAGCACCAACCAGTGCCAACTGCCCATCCGTGCCTGCCTCCCTGGTGCCTCCCCGCGGCCAGTGAGGTGGCTCCCTCCTGCCCCCCTCCCCAGGCCCCTCACGATCACCCCATCCAGACGCCGGCAAGCTGGGGGACCCTGCATGTCCAGAGATCAAGATCCAGCTGGAAGGGGCTGAGCATCACACACCTCAGCTGGTACGTGCAGCCACAGGGCTCCAGGCCTGGGGACTGGACAGAGAGGTCCCCTAGGCCAGGAAGGGTCGGGCTCCTCTGTCCTGGGCACAGCCAGTGACTTCTGCTTGCCTGTGTCTTCTGCTCCACGTCGTCATCTGTCCTGTCCTCTGCCTCGTCACCGTTCTCTGTCTGTGCAGGGCTGTTAGCCAGGCTCCCCTCGGAAGGTGACTGACAGGTCAGACCCAGCCCTCAGCTCTTGTTTGGTGGGGAGAGGGTTGGGGGCGGGCCGGGGGCGGGCCAGCTCCTTCCTGTTCCTCTGTCCCCTCTCTGGGCTGAGAGCTTTGTGTCTGGGTTCAAATCCTCTGCTATCCAGATACTGGGTGACTCAGGCAGGTCATTGGCCCCTCTCTGGGCCTCAGTTTCCTTATCTGTGCAATGGGGCTAGTAAATGCTGCCTCACCTCTACCCATGGGATGCTGGGAGGATTTGATGGAGCCTGAAAGGGACTTGGGAATTGCTGGGATGGGGGTGTCTGCGGGACTCCCAGTGGGAGGGAAAGACCCAGAGCCTGGAACTCCAAGGGCGGGCTCTGTCTGCCCTCTTCACGGCATCTCCATCCCCCTCCATCCTGCAGATGAGGCCGAAGAAGCACAAAGTGAAGATGCTGTGTCGACTCCAGGTGGATGGAACCTCCACCCCCAAGGCCGCCACCAGCCTGTGGGCAGTCCCCTGCCTCCCCATCCCTCTCCTCAGCCTACCACCTGGGCTGTCTCTGCAGGGCAGAGCCATCCAGACCTGGGAGCAGGGAAGCTGCTGGCATCACCCTTACCCCCCCAGGCTGGGGGGCCAGGCTGGTGCAGGGGGGGTCAGTTGCAGCAAGACTGCAGGCCTGGCTTGCTCCCACCTGGGCCCTCCATCACACCTTAATGCCCCTCTAGACTCTGGGGGGGGCAAGGTGGGAAGGGGGACTGAGTTATCTCAGCGCGTACCCAGCCAGCAGGCGGCAGGATGTGAGATGTGAATGATCACTGGCTTGGGAGTCCCAAGTCCTGGCTTCCAATTTGGGTTCTGCTGTGTGACTGTGGGCAAGTCACTCCCCCTCTCTGGGTGCCTCAGCTGCAAACGGACAAGATTATTTCAGAGGTCACTGAAGACTGTGATTCCATGCACCTGCCCCAGAACGGGGGACTGTCCTTCCAGGGGCTTGCCGTCACCCTACCCTGCTTCTTAGGGTCCCTGGGGCCCCAGGTCGGGTGAGGGGCAGGAAACCGGCTATGCCTGTTGCCCCTCCTGGGCCCTTAAGCTCTGCCACAGATCTGCCAATACCCTGTCCACTGCCTCCGCGTGACAGACAAGTGACCCCCTTGTGGGAAAAAGGAGGACCTACCTGGCTCCTCAGCTTTGCCCCTGCCATCCCGTATTTTGGGCACTCCAGGCCGATAGGCCTCTTCTGGCCTAGAGTTGCAGGCCTGGCCTTTGCGCCCCCCGCTCCCATGGAGGGGGTAGCCAGGCACAGCTGCTGTGAGTCCACTTCCTTCTGTGTGTCTGTCCACACTTTTTAGGCGCCATGCCAAAGGCCAGCCTTCCCACCCCAGTACCCATCTGGGAAGCCCCTGTGGCCGTGTGTATGTTGGTAACAGTTGTACAGAATAAATTCTATTTATCGCTATTGTACCCCGCATTGGACCTGGCTCTGCATGAACCCTGCCCAGATCCACCCCAGACAGGTCTTGTTGGTGCCAGCGCAGAGGGGGTCCTGTCTCCCCTGCCCCCAAGTCAGAGCTGCTGGGGCCAGGGCACCTCCAAGGCCAAACCACAGGCTCTAAGCACCAGCCATGGCTTCCTCCTGAGGTGTTGCCCTTCCCTCCACCTCTTCCCCTACCCCACAGGGGATGAACGTGGCTTTGAATCTGGCTGACCCAGGTTTGAGTCCCGGCACCCCCTACTATGTGGCAGTAAGAAACTTACTAGCTTCTCTGAGCTGCAGTTTCCACATTTGTAAAATGGGAGCAACAGTACGTCTCCCGGGGTTTGTTATGTGTATGGCACACAGTGGGCGCCCCCACTTCTCATGCTCAGTGAAGCCCAAGATTTCCCCTCTGTGGCCGCCAGGGGGCAATGAGGGACCGCGTACAGGAACAGTCGGGGTGAGTCCCCCAAGTGGGAGGAGCTCACAGTGCAGGGCGGTTACAAGGAAGAGCGACAGGTGGTGTGCAGGCGGAGGCCGGCCAGCCTCGGTGAGGTGAGGGAGGCGCGGGGAAGACCGGAACAGCGATGCCCAGGCATTTCAGAAAGTGTCCCTGGGGGAGGGGGCCGCAGATGCGAAGATACAAAGGGGAATCGGGAAGGTGGCCAACAGTTATGAGTGATGGGATGGTGATGACTTTGGGGACTGGGAAACATAGAGATGAGGCCCGAGACCACATAGCCTTGAATGCCTGCCAAAGGGGCTAGGGCTTTATGCTGAGAGCAACCGGGAGGGATGGAGGATTTAAAACGGAGTGAAGTGCCGTGGGCACTGGAGGGGCAGTGTGGGGGCAGGGGGGAGGACCACGGATGCTGTCGTTGGGGACAGAGGGTGGCCAGGAGGCCCCTGGAAGGTGTTAGGAGGCCTGGGCCTCTGGATGGAGGGCCTGATGGGACGTGGGGCCGAGGGAGCAGTCCAGGAGGCTCTCAAGGGTCCAGCCTGGGTACTGGGCGAGTGGGGGCGGGGTTCCCCGAGGTAGGAGCGTGGGAGGAGGAGCAGGCTGAGAATGGGAAGATGGTGGGCTTGGCTTGGGCCTGGCGGTAGGCACAGAATTGGGTGCCAGTGGGATCAACCGTGTCAGTTTGCTGACGGCCTGGCAGCCATCCTACCCCCTCCCCGCCACCAGCCCCCACGCCATCCCTGGGACAATACTCAATGCAGCCCAGGGGCTGCCATGAATTTCCTGCCAGGGACCTTCTCTGACCCTCAGATGTCTGGGACCACCCAGGGATGATGACTCACCCCAAAACCCAGCCCCACCCAGCTGAGCTCAACTCTAGGCAGCCCTGGGCTCAGGGGTCCCCTCCTAACCCTGGTGCCCTCGCCTGCTCAACCTCACCCCTGGTCTCTAACCCGCATGCTCCTTCCTGGGTCCTGGATCCTTAGAACTCTCTGCCTTCACTTCCTGGCTCTGTTACTTTGGTTCTGGGCCTCAGTTTCCTCATCTGTGCGGGGGGAATGCTAGTGGCCCTGACCTTGGCACCAGGTGTGAGGATTCAGTGAGGTGGCACTTCCTAAAGTCCCCGCCACAGGCCTGGCCCACAGTGGTCTCCAAAGGTGGTGTGTGGGGGGTTGGTGGTGGTGACAAGCACGAGCGAGAACCCCACCCATAACCCACGTCACAGGGTGCAGGGGTCAGTGCTCAGCGTGGAGGATGGGGTGCCTGGTGCCGCCAGGTACAGACCACTGACTTGAGGCTTTGGGGGTGGACGACTGTCAGCTACTTCCCCGAGCCTCAGCTTCCCAATTCTACAGGCTTGTGTGTGAATGATCCTGTTATAAAAAGAGGTCATGCACCCCCACTTGGATCCCTTTGCTTGACTCCTCGCCACACCCACGGCTCTGACCTACAGCTGAACCAGAGCTCTGGGGTCTGTGGTGGCGGACGAGGGGCAGCTTGGCCAGCAGAACCTGCCTTCGGCCAAGGTCATGCCAGTCCCTGTCTGCAGGCCTCTGGGCAGGGTTTCGTGCGGGCCCCCACCCTTCTCTGGGCTCCGAGGTGGGGCCGGGGGGTGCTGAGGACGAGCCTGGCCTCTGGGATCACAGTGTCCAGGGCTGTTTCTCTTGTGCCCAGGCCAGCTCCGTGCTCACCCTGGTTCTGAGGTGGGGAGGGCGAGTCAGGACACGGCTCCAAGGCTGGAATTAGGGCCTGGGCGGGGGGCACCGGGTTCCGGGAAGTGCTGGACTCTGCTTAGAAATAACTCTGGTGGTGGAAACGGCAGCCAGAGGTTTCTCCGGACGCAGGAGGCAAGAGGCCTCCCGTGGAGGAACTTGGGTGCTTGGCTAACCTGGCATCCCCAGCCCCTTGCCTTAGAGCTGGAACCTGTGCCTCCAGGTCTCAGTTTCCTCACCTGTGAAATGGGGACGGAGCCCTACCTGTTACTGTCATGGCCTCTGAAGTACCTGGCATGGAACCCATGCCTAGTAGGGGGGCTCCTCCCCTGTCCCTGAGCAACTAGGTTGTCCCTGGACATCCCTGGCTAACCCTGGGGCCACATTGCCAAAGAGACAGCCACAGACGCAGGCCCACCCAGTGCCAGAGGACTTCGACCTGGACATTCTCTGCTGCTCAGGCCACAGGGGTGCTTAACCAGGGACCCTGGAATGTGGAGGGCCCTCCCTGCACCCGCCCTGCCAAGGGGACAGTCAGGGACGGAGGCTCCTGAAATAACCAGATCTGGTTAGCAAAGCTAATTTTAAAAGCCACTCTGGCTTCCCATGGGCCCTTCTGGGAAGCCGTGAATGTCCTTGTGTTTGTCACTGGGAGGCACAGCCAGTGCAGAAGACCCCAAGCTGCCCCCCAAGTCCCAGAGCCCTGGAGAGGCCCAGCCACTGCCCCGGTCCGCTCAGAGTGGACCCTGGTGGGCTGCTTAAGCTCTCTGTCTCCCTCTGTCCCCATCTGCTCACTCCCTGTCCCTTCACCTCTGTGTCTCTGCCTCTCTCAGTCTCTGACACACCCTGTCCCTCTCTGTAGCTGTGGCTCTGTCCCCCTCTCTCTGGGTCCATCATTCAGGAGGCCCGGAGCATTCCTGACGGTCCACAGGCTGGACTGTGCAAGCCAGGTAGGGGTGGGGGTCCCCCTGGGAGCTAGGGTTGCAGGTAGGGCTGGGTGGCAGGACAGCAGTTGTGGGGGCCAACAGGAGCTGCAGCGGAGCAGGCACGGGCCACGTCCAGGCACGACCTGGGCCATCTGGTCAGGCCAGGTGACAGAAGAAGGAATGAGCTCCCGGGTAGGGTTGCCAGATTTAGCAAGTAGAAACACACGGAGCCCAGTTAGGCTTGAATTTCAGATAAACAAGGAATAATTTTTAGTTTAAGTATACCTCATGTAATATTTGGGACATGCTGAAACGAAAAACTATTCCTTGTTTTTCTGAAATCCCCGTCTCTCTGGGCACCCTATGTTTTACCTGGCAGCCCCGTCCAGGGGGGCTCTGGAGAGAGCGGAGAGGTTGGTCAGGAAACTGTCAGGTTCTCTAGACGCCAGTACCTCAGCCTGGTGGGGCTGTCACCGCCACGCCCTGGGGACATTGGTCCAAAGGAGGAAGTACAGGGAGCTTTCAGTTTTCCAGGGATCGGGACAGTCCCTGGGAGCAGCAGGAAGGGGCACTGACACCTAGACAGTCCCCTGTCACTGCCTCAGTGGAACCATAGACATCAGGAGGGAGGTCCCTGTGTGTCCTCTGCTGAGACCCAATGTCTTGCCCAGGGTCTGGCACATAGTAGGGACTTCGTAAATATCTCTTGAATGAGTGAAGAACCTTCCTACCCCTCCCTACAGCGGTGGGGGGCACGTGGCCAGCAGGGGGCTCCAGCACCCCACCTCCCAAGCTCCTCAGAACCTGCCTCCACTCCAGGGACTCCCCAAAGTGACCCGCAGAGGGGACGGAGAGAGGAGGCCAGCATCTTCCCTATCCCACCCCTTCCCTGGACCCCAGTTCCAGCCAGGAGTTCTGCCTGGGCAAGGGTGCAGGTGTGGGTGGGGACTAGCTCACTGGGAGACTGGTGAGGACTGAGTGGGGGGACAGGCTGAGCCGTGTTCTCAGTGCTCCTTGGGGGGGGGCGTTTGGACAGCCAGAGGGATTCCTGGGGCCCAGAAAGTTGGGGACACTGGTTTTGGGGGGAGGTAAGACGGGCCTTTTCCTGAGGGTGGTTATTCTCAGGGGTCCCCCTGGAGGGGCTGACTAGGGAGAGGCCAAGGGCAAAGTCCCTTAAACAGACTTTTTATTCGTTTGCTCGTTCACTCCCTCGTCGCCTCCTTCCCTCACTGTCACCCTCCCTGAGATGACCCCCACCGCTGGACTTGCACCAGGGGCCTCAGCTGCTCGCCCAGTCCCCACAGGAACACGCCTGTCCCAGCACCACACTGCCACTGGCTCCCTGCTGTCCTTGGGCACTGACCGCTGGGAACCTCAGTTTCCCCTTTCCCACGGCGGGGGTGGGGGGGACACAGGCAGGGTCCACGAGAAGGCGAGCTGGTGCCCTCCTGCCATGAGTGCTCCCGAGGCGGGAGCCATTGGAATTATTATTAATGTTATTGTCAGCATCCTCTCAAGGCCCCTGCAGGTTAGGCAGGGAATACGCAGCTGGCCTCACGGCCCCGGCTGCGTGGCCAGGGCCTCCCTGAGGCCACTCTGGCCGGCCTTCCTCTCGAGCTTCACCCAGCTCAGTCCCCACCCTTCCTTTTCAAGGAACATCAGCTCCTTCAAGATGTCTCTAGCTTCTAGATCCAGTAATAGATCCTGCAGAGAAAAGCAAGCGGTGGGGGCAGAGCCGAGAGCGACCGGGCTGTCGTCTAACCTGCAGTGTGAGTTGGAGCTCGTCCCCTCCTGCTCAGGGCCTCAGTTTCCCCAGCTGTACAGTAAGGGAGCCGGGCAGGCCATGCCGCCCAGCCCTGCAAGGGGCCCTCTGTGTCATCCTGTCAGTG